TAAGGGACCGGTCATTATTTATGGTGGGGGTGGCACCGAAGAGAAAAGGGTTGGGTAAACTAAATTTTGAGTAAGTAAAAGGTTGGGTAAATGAAAAACAAAACAACTCAAGGGTTGGGTAATAAAAAATTATTGTCATTTCAAAAGCATGACTCACTGAAGTATTGGGGACTAAAAAGCAATGGCAACAGTAGGCCCTACTCTGGGGCGATAACGAGATAATGCGAGTTTAAGCAATTTTAGGTGATTTAAGCAAAATCTGCAATTTAAGCAATTAATGCGAGTTTGAGCGATATAGGGCAATGTAAGAAAACAATTAAAATTTTAGGGAATACTGTTTTAGGTGTTTAGAGGTAATTTCAGGAATATACAACTATATCCCTGATGACTCCAATGAAATTACCATTAACCTATGCCAAGCATCCAAACATGAGTGTTCCCACAAACGCACACACATGCAGTGTATGAAGCAAAGTTGAAGTCTGCTTGAGCGGGTTCTGGAAACAAACAATACACTGTATGCGCATGACGATCAAGTGTTTAAAGGGTAAATAAGCTCAATATTCATGACTTTTTCCATCCATTGCATGTCTATTTCGAAGCCATTGGGGGTATTATTAAATTCATGACACAACTATAATACATGACCACATGTTCACATCATATGCAATTGCAAACAATTTTCAAAGGAGTAGGGTACAGAATTGCAATATAACAACATATAAGTAAATTATACATGTCATGAACTTACCAGTTTGTGTTGAGTTAAATTTAAAATTTTTTATGACATCAAATATTATTTATTTATTTGCAAATCAAAACATTTTAAAATTCTCGTGTTTTGTTTTGCGCCCGCGATATATTAATGGTATTAACCGCTGTGAATATGATATACATTTTTAATACATTACATTTGCGCTCAAAAGTTCAGGAAGTGAGTTTCTAGAAAGGATGAAAACTCCGTTTTATATATGGTATGTAAAAGGTAATCGTTGTTTACTGTTTACTGTTTATTTTGTATTCAGGTATGGGGAATTTAAGCGATGAGAGTTGCAAAACTTGCAAATGTAGTCTGACTAGTTTCTTTGACGTCATCATGCAACTATTTAATATTGTGCTACATTCATTATTCAATTTATTCGCAGCAATTAGCCTTCTATAGGCCATACAAATTATTATAGCTTATAGCCCACCTTGCCTTTAACATTGATCCTATATATAATGAATTAACATAAGAATTGATTATGTTGCTAGTCGAGTATGGGACTTATGGGTCTTCTAGATCCTAGAGTAGCACAATTAATATAAAGTCTGCGTAAGGCGGTAATATTAAAGACTGTTCTTATTTATGCATGACCTTTGACTATTAAGTGGCCAAAAATTGTGCCTAC